ATATATATATATATATATATATGCGGTGAGAATATTATCTGATGGCAATGTTCATAACAGCCACATATCGAAAATCATGAAGCAAATGTGTCGCGAATATCTCTTTTACACAAATTGATTTTATTTATGAAGCTTTTATTATATAAGCTTTTATTTTATATGGTATGATTGTGATATTACTACCTCTGGTTCTAATTGCATTTATATGATGAGCAATGCACAAAAATCTTCAATTAACTGCGGAAATTATAAGCCTGTTTTATTTAACTGAACTTTTTGCACGGTTCATCTTTTCTTTTTTTCTCTCGAATGGGAAGAGAAAAGAAAGAAAGATGAACCGTGCAAGAACTTTAATTAAAAAAAACAGACCTATTTTATTGAATTCATGTCGTGAATAACTTCGTTTAGAGAGTTATAGGATCACATTCTGCAATGACGTTACATTCCTGCAATCTCAGTCCAAGATACGAATACAAGAATATTGTTTTTATGACCTGTTAAAATGTGAGGAAATAGTCCGTATAATAGATGTGTAAGCCATAACATGCCAATACGTAGATAGATGTATTTATACATACAGAATATATTTATGTACAATGAATTTTGTACAAAGAAACGCAATTGATAAAACAAGGAAAATTTTTCAACGATTTTAATTTTAAGTAATTTCTCGTATACACAAAAATTTACATTGATGTTGCAGAGTAAAGAAGGATGTATGTTAATAAAAAAAATATTTAAGCTAATTTGTATTCAGTCTTCTTTAATGTGCAATCTCTTCTACTAGCGAAATAAAAATAGCCTACTCGTATTTTTATTTAGCAATCTAGTTTCATAGATTTTCCATGCGTTGCAATATCTTTATCTCGTTTTCAATAATGCAGATTTTTTTAATCTAACTGGTTTCTAGGGCTATAAAAATAATCTAGAAGTTTGGACGATTCTTTAAAATGCTCATTTGACGTTCTATTTTTATTCGACGTTTAAAAAACAATTATAAAATGCAAAAATATCGATTGTGTTCGGCACATGGAGGATCAAAGATAACATTAAGATCTTCACAAATTATTTAAAAAAAATTGAGTTTTTACTCGTAAACTCATTATTCATAATATATGTATCAAAAGCCATAATTTTTAATCAACATCAATACTACTTTCCCTCTCACCGCATAAATAAAGATCTTCCGTCATTTACATTTTTTTGCACATATATATATATATAT